TGTATTTAAAAAAGGACTTCTTGTTGCCCTTGATCCGGGAAGCTAGTCCCAGTTCCATCTCCGCCTTGGCTTTCCTGACTGCCCCCCTGCATCCCCAAGCAACCGCAGTATAGTCCTCGCTGGTGATGGCCCCTCCCTTCCATTGGGTGTACACCTCCCTTTTAGCCAAGAGACATTCCTGGATACTTTTGGTGAGCCATGGGGGCTTTTGCGCCCTCCTGCCCCCTTTGATCTGTGTTGGGATTACTTCCCTTTGGGCTTGGAGGATCGTCTCCTTAAGGAGGATTGTCTCCCTAAGGAGCGACCACTCTTCTTGGACACCTGGCTCCCCTCCCCTCCGGGACCTCAGTGCTTCCCTGACTATTCTCCTCAGCTCACTGAAGTCCGCCCTCCTGAAATCTAGGGCTGTTGGCTTGCTGTAGGCCTTTGCCACCTCGCGCTGGCAATTTAGTCTATGCCTGCACACATTCACAGCATAGCCCTGGAACTGAGAAAGCCCAGCCACTTGCGCCAGAGCCAGGGCTTTTCTCTTTCTACCCCTCAACGGGGCTCTTCGTAGCCCGATTACTCCTCCCTGAACCAGGTAATGTCCCCGCCCCCCACTGTGGACCGCCCCCCTGTGCACCCTACAGAGCCACCAGCCTCTCTGCCCCAAGTTACTTAACTTTGGGCTCCCTGTGCTACTCCCAGCAGTGGCTAACAGTTGGATGTGCCACTCTCAGTTTAGGGTAGACAGCTCAAAACAAGCCGCTTATACCTAAAGCATGTCATGTGAACACCTGGTCACATCCTTAAATTGCACAGCCCAGACTTGTGCAGAGTACTTTCGCTGAAGTCTAATAGGCACTGAGCAGAGTGGTATTATTATCTCCGTTCTCGTTTAATGTATTATGTTATAGCATCATCAAGTTGGTTGCCCACCTTGGGAGGAAAAAAAAATCAAAAAAATTGCAGAAACTCACAAGCTTTGGTCCTAGTTGTTGTTTGTCAAAGACAGTACCAGCATGTGGAAGTTACTGGAATTAGATCAAACTTGGCAAAAGATGAGGATTTAAGGATACATTTATATTTTATATAACTATATATGTTTGGGAACATCCTCAGACAAGGGATTGTCTAAGGAAGCTTTTACTCTTAAATTCTCTATCACTGAAACCTTCCTCAAAACTGAATGGAACATGGAGATAATGAGGCATCTGCTCATAGTTAACACCAGTTTAGGAATCTGTGTGGGGAAGAAATCTCTTTCTGTAGAAGAGAGCGATCAACTTGGAAAGGAAACCCTAGATAGAAATATACTGGCAATTATTCTGTATCCCCCAGCTGATGCTAGTAGTTATTTCCCAAATGGAGATGTCAGGACATTCATCACATTTTGATGAAAGCCCTTGTTATTTCTTAGTTTTGAGCAAGACATTTAAGGGCACAAAGGTCAATACATGTCTTTCAGAGAAGACAATCATTGGAACCTCTCAGCTACACATAAGATGCTATTGAACCTGAACAGTTCTGCCCACAGATAGGGTCAGCAATTTAATATCACAACATTAGGTGTAATGACTATGATTACTGCCTATTTACTCTCACACCTACTGCAGAAGGTAATTAAAAATGCATCCGTTTCTTTCTAATTAATTTTAAAACTTGACCTTGAGTTGGTCCTCAAGGCCAACTTGAAAAAAAATGTAACATCAACTCATGGCAGACTGTCACCTAGGACTACCCCAAATGCAACAAAAGTCTGCTGCAAGGATCTCACTGCTTTGAAACCTTATGATGATAACAGTAGATGGAAAAGGGGTAACGGCAGAAACTGTGTCAGGGACCAAATCAAGAATACAGAGCCACCCACCCCACACAGCAACACGTGCCCAAGTTCCAACAGACTCTTTTGATCCCAGATTGGCCTCATCAGCCATCTTCGGACTAAAAGATAAAGCAATCATGGAAGACTACCATCCGCAACTGTGAGGGACTGTCAATGAGCTTAATATTAGCTTAATTCAACTGGAAAAAAGGGACAAGATACAGGATCAGACAAAGAAGGACAAGATCAAGTTTTATTGTTATTTGGTCAAAACCTTATAAAGGAGAACTTGATGTTACACCAGAAAGCAAGATCAATCAGTACAAAAGACTGAAAATAAAACCTTCAGCTTCAGAATGATAGAGAATCAAGTGTAAATTTTACGTGTGTGTGCGTGTGTATGTGTGCGCACTTGCTGCATTTCATTTGGGGTACCAATTATAGAAATTAAATATCCATGTTTTATATGCTTTATTTTGGGGCTGCTGAAATATTTTTCTATTAGAATCCCCTGCCTACCCCCTTTGAATTAAAATGAATTAATATCTGTACTCTAGTAGCACTCAGAAGTCCTAAGTACTTTCACAAATTTAGGAAGACACATCCTGTTCATAAGAGTTCATAATCTGTATTTGTATAAACTTTCTTTGAACTAAGGGAAAAAAAATGACCTCACATCTACAACTCTGGATGATCCTAGGGGAAGTGGAAGTTATATACTATATGGATGGAAGACAAGGAAGTGGCAAAATTGGCAAACCATTTAGTGCCACAGACTGTAATGGTTTCTGCTATATATCACTTTGTGTGGAGTGGTTCTGCATAAAACTGAAGGAAGGATTGTGGACTCAATTCTATGAAGACAGACCAGCCTCTGACTTCTCCAGAGCAGAGGCACAGGAGAGGTAGAGTGATTCTGTATATTCATAGCTGAAGGAAGGGCTCTGAAGCAAAGACATAACTGGACAGTTCTGTGCCTTGGGTGGCAGTGGCTGCAGATGGACAATCGGTGGCAAGTGCTACTTTTGTGCCACCCCTCAGTTATACCACTGCTCTGAAATAGTCCACATTTAGTGAAAGTTTTGCCTGGATACGGACTGTGGGGTTTACTGATTCTATACAGCCTCAAGCCCATGGAAGCTATGGAAAATGTTGAGCAAGAAGGCCTGTTGATGGGGAAATGTTAATTCCTTTGTAGGATGAAGAGGCTAGGGAGATTTTGTTGTGAAGTGTTTCCAGTTTTACTATTTAAATAGCTCAATTTGTGTATGTCTGTGCCCACAGCCTAAAAGAGAAGTACATAAAAAAACTCCAAATATATACATTATCCCAAGATAATGAATTTGTTTAATTATAGTGTGCGTTTGAGGGATATATAGCCATGGCAAGTCTACTGATCTGCACGCCTATTAGTGATAACATACCTCATATGGAAAGATGAAAAACAAGCCAACAACATTAGAACAAATCAGAAAAACTAAGTTATGCAATTACCGTGTAGTGCTAGCTAATGTTGAAGCCTTTCCTTGCAAGACTAATTTAAGCTTTAAAGCCTCAGGAAAATATAAGCTTTGATTTCCAGAGAAAGGGATTAGTTATCCATCCTAAGAATATTTCTAAAATCTCCCAAACAAGTAAAAGTACCATTGGTGAAGATGTGCGTCTGTTTTCATCTTTAGCAAACATGCACTGGTGAAAAGAGGTTGCTTATGAGAGAGAAATTACATTTCTGTTATTTGTTATCCTGTTTGCCTCTATGTATTTAAAGTGTCTGTCATTGTGGTACCTTAAAATATTTAACTACATCTCATAAACAGGAACAGTTATTAAAAGAATGAGTGTAACCATATCCTGCATACATGAACAAATCCTGCTATGTATATGACTTCACTAATCAAACCCGCACATCTCGTGGAATTGTTTTGCACATGAAAAACAGTTGATGTTTCACTGTTAATGAAACAGGAGTTACATGACTGGGGAAATCCCAAATGCTATGCAACTCAGTCCACCTTTTAAATCACAACTTTCATTGTATTCGGGCAGCCGTGTCTGCAGTGTGTAGAACAAGCAGTTCCAAAATTTACATCTGTTCCTTCTCTCTGAAACCAGAAGGCAGCTCCTGGGGAAGAGATTTCCAGAATGCTGGTTCAGCACTTGGAAGAAGAAAAGAAACAAATGGGGAATATGGAAAGTTAAACCTTTTGTAAAATTAGACACAGAGGCTCCGATTCTGACATGTTCTCACATTGAGTAGGTCCACATCCTGCATGTAGGCCCACACCAATTAACAATGTCTGCATCACAAGCTGTTACTGTAGAATAAAGATGACAGAATCAGGCCTTTAGAACTATTAAATATAATCCCAGGAAACTGGAATAAAAAAAAATATTTATAATGCACTGTTTCATTACTTGCCCAGGGAAAATACTATCAACAACAACCAAATAATCACTGAGTCATCCCTTCCCAGTGAATCTTCATATAATCAGATAGCCTCCCCAAAAGATAAGGATTGCTATACCTTTAATCCAAACTATTGGAGCCAAGACTTTTTTTATATTCAGCAAGTGACCAGATTTTCAAATACTCAGTGCCCATTGCTCCAACTGGTTTCAGTCTTTTAAAGTCAGCCTGTTCCTTTAGGGACCTAATATGCAAATAGTTTAACCATGTGTATCTATACAGTTTCCCAGTCTTGGGTTATTGGGGGGGTGGGTACATCCAAATATTAGATTTAAATTTAGATAGACCTTGGGTTAGGTCTATCTAAATCAGGGGTGTGCAAAATACAGCCCACGGGCGGGACCCAGCCTGCCAGGCCATTGTATCTGGCCCATGGGGCCCCTAAAATTTTAGAAAATTAATATTTATCTGCTCCTGGTTGCCTTTCAAATATCACAGGAGCCAGGGGCAGTGGGAGCCAGCAGGAGCCAGCAACAAGGCCAGCCCTGCCCCATACCACCCTGCCCCAAGACCTCTCTCCCCCACAACTGGAAGCCTCTGCCTGCCCCGTCTTGCACTGCTTCCCCGCACACCAGCTGACCTCCAGCACCACATGGTGCTAGGCTGCATTGGAAGACTGTGGGAGCACAGCGCTGCACTGGTACCCCGGGGCCAGGAGCGGGATGGTGTGTGTGGGTGGGTGCATGCAATGAGGGGGAGAAAGAGAGAGAAAGAGTGTATGTGTAGTGTGGGAGGCACAGAGAGTGTGCATGTGCATGTGTGTGTATTGTGTGTTCATAGGGCGAGCCTCACAAGCACACCCTGCCATACATACAGACCCCACATCCCCTCACACACCCCAGTCACCCTCCCCCCACACACATCTCCCCACAAACCTCATACCCATCCACAGCCCACATATCCATGCACAACCACATGCTCCCTCACCCCACACCCACACTCCCACACTTCTCCTCCCACAAAATCCACACACACACCTGCTCCCACACCCACATACCCATAGCCCCACACAAACCTATACCAACCCCCCCATTCCCCTCCCTCCCTCCCCACAGTATACAAGAGTAAGACTTCATTTTCAGCTATTGTGCAATCACTTCTGTGTACACTACACAAAGCCATGTAAATCAGGACAAAAATATTTTTAAAATCAAAATAATGAGCGTTGTAGATGTTTGATTTTTAGAATAGAATTAGGTATTTTTCTGGTCCTGAAATGGCAAAACCCCTTGCTGAAAGGAGTACTCCCGGGGGCAAGGGAAGGGAATTATGGTGGCAAAGGTTGGGGGTTAAGGGGCGGGGTTTCTGATCCCAAGATGGTGACCAGGGGGCGGGGAACCTGCTAGGGGGCAGGGCTACCCATGTAGCCCTTGACAGCTTAGCAAAACTCTGTGAGCAGCCCTCTGCCCAAAATAATTGCCTGCCCCTGATCTAAATACTCATTCATGAAGGTGATCTGAGGGTTTAAATAGATTAAAAAATGGCACGGCCAATCTAAGTTCAGTCACCAGAGGAGGTGCTCTAATTTAGATTGAGAATGGGTGAACCTGATCTAAAAAGGAGTTAATCTTATCTAGTGAACACCTGCTGTGCTAGTCCTACCTCCACAACCCTAAATGGGCTATTTGCAGTCTAGGAACCTCTACCTCTGCCTCCAACCAGACAACCTTCCCCTCATCTGCAGACCCACTAACCCCTCCTTCCCCCACCATCCCTGCAGACACACAAGTACCCTTCCACCTTCCCAACACACCAAGCTTTCTGCCAGTTATGAATGACTTATCTCAGGATGCCTGTGCCACTTCTTACAGTGGAAAATGAATGCACAGTCCACTGCCAGTCTAGGTTTAGACAGATTTAAGCAAGGTGTCTAAACCTAGACTGAGTGCAGAAAATGCTTGTTTGCACCCATAAACTACAAATCTAATCCTCTAAGATCCTTAGTAAGGATCTAACAACAAAGACCACATATATGAAAGAAAACATGTCAGCCATCTCGCTTTTCTGTCCATGTGATGGGATCAAAAAGTCCATAGGCAAACCTGGATGAAGGGACAATAAATGAAGAACTATTACAAAGAATAAAATTCTTTTCAATAATGTGAATATTTCATTTGCAACAATGCATAATTACTGTGTATGTTTTTAAAGAGTTTTATACTGCCATTTTTTTTCTTGGACAGCACTTAGCAATACTTACAAAGTGTATTGTTATTTTTTCATACAGAGCTTGTCAGAATGCACTTCATACAACCTTACACAACTTGTAAAATCAAAAGTGGGTTTAATAATGAAATACTACTTGATGTACATAATCTATTTCATTAGTAGTGCATATAGTGTCCATTAAATGGATTCAAAGAGCAATCGCTTCCTACCGTGTAAGGTAATTACATATTCCCCTGACTAGGTAAATCTCTATTAGAGGCAAAGCTACTGCACAGAAATAGGTGAAATACTATTATGCCAGATATAGATATATAGATATAAATATACAGATATAGATATCTATATCTATATGCCTTACATTAGGAAAAGAACCTTTACATCAGAATGAATTACCAAACTTGATCATGCTGAATAAATAATATACACATATACTCAATTATACAAATATATAATGTTGGATGAACATCATTGCCCAGTCTGAGTCCCATTAAGGTAAAGGGAAAACTACAATAGACTTCCAATCAAGCTGGACATAACTATTGCTATCTCATTCTTCCTGCATAAACTGAGAATACGACATTCCTTTAATTGTACATTTGAATTGCCCTAGATTTTTGCACAGTGGTGGTGTTCCAAGAAACTGGTCAGAAATCTCCCTAGTACAACTACTCATTTTGATCATACCTAAATTCAAGTAACCTAAATTCTTTGGCCAGGTACCTGATACCTGCAGCACTCTTGTAGGAAGCTGGGAATTCATAGAATCGTAGAATCAAAGGACTGGAAGGGACCTGCAAGATCATGGGCAGAAAGTTATTGGGCTTAAATGAACTCAACAAGGTGCTTATACAGCCTCATCTTGAACACCTCCAAGAATGGTGACTGCTGGGAGTGTGTTCCAGATTCTGGTAACCTTTATGGAAAAAAAGTTTTACTTTATGTCCTGCCTAAATTCTCCCTCTATTAGCCCATTGGTTCTCGCCTTGTTTTGAGGTGCCTTCCTGAAGAGTTGCTCCCATAGATCTTGATGCCCACCCATAACGTATTTGTAGGTGGCTATCAAATCACCTCTCAGTCTTCTCTTACTCAGACTGAACAGGCCCAGTTCCCAGAGTCTCTCCTCATAGGGCCTATCCTCCAGGCCCCTAATCATATGGGTAGCCCTTCTTTGTACCCTCTCAAGCTTATCCACATCCTTCCTGAAGCAGAACCTGACACAGTACTCCAGCTGTGGCTTTACCAATGCCAAATAGAGAGGGAGAAGCACCTCTCTAGATCTACTGACAACACATCGGCTGATGCACACCAGAGCTCTATTTGCCCTGCTGGCACACTGTTGGCTCATGTTCATCTTCTGGTTGATCGTGAACCCCAGGTCCCATTCAGATGCTGTGCCAGCCAGTGAAACACTGCCCATCATGTAGGTTCTTCCTACCCAGATAAATATATATCTGTAATGAATGCATGGAAATGCAACACGCAGATTGATGGATAAAAATGATGATTCAAGCAAATAAGGAGGAGAGAGTGTAGCTTTTCGTAGTATCATAGTACTTAGGGTCGGAAGGGACCTAAACAGATCATCAGGTCTGACCTCCTGCCCCGGGCAGGAACGGATGCCAAGACCATATCACCCCAGCCAAATATCTGTCCAGTCTCCTCTTGAAGACCCCCATGGTAGGAGAGAGTACCACCTCGTTTTGGAGCCCATTCCAGAGCCTGGCAGCCCTAACTGTAAAGTAATATCTCCTGATGTCCAGCCTGAACCTTCTCTCTAAAAATTTGTGGCCGTTATTCCTAGTAACCCCACATGGTGCCTGGGGGGAACAGAGCCGCCCCCAATTCTCAGTGGTCCCCCCTGGTGAGTTTGTAAATGGCCCCTTGACCATGTGAATGGACCTCCTCTGGACTCTCTCAATGCTAGCCACATCCCTCTTGAAGTGTAGCGCCCAGAACTGGACGCAGTCCTCCAACTGTGGCCTGACCAACGCTGCATAGAGGGAAAGGATCACCTCCATGGACCTATTTGTGATGCATCTGTAGATGCATGACAAGCTGCAGTTAGCCTTACTGACTGCTTCCTCGCATTGGCTGCTCATGTTCATCCTGGAGTCAACAATAGCTCCAAGATCCCTTTCTGCCACTGTGTTGACAAGAAGGCTGTTCCCAAGCCTATAGGTGTGTTGCTGGTTCCTTCTCCCTAGATGCAGCACCTGCACTTGTCTGCGCTGAATTCCATCCCTTTTGGCAATGGGATAAGGAAGCTGGAGATTTTGAACTAAACAGTCAAGAGTTCCTGGTCTGCCATAAGCTTCTCGTGGGACTTCTGTAAGCCAGTTAAGGTTACATTCACCCAGGGCCTTGTGATACTCAGCTTGGCCACACCTAACTTCTAGGATCCAGGCCCTCAGGATACAATTCAGACAAAATGCGCCTAAATTCGGTCTATAATAGATTGGGAGGATATTCCATAAATAATAGTTAGGGAGGATTAGGCATAACAGATCAGGGGGCACCTAAAAGGAAATCATGAAAAAAAAAGACTGTTTTTGCATTTCCAAGACTTGCATCCATCTGTAAGGTTGAAGCTGTAGCCCAAAACTCTTTCTTATACTTTTGTGCCTAAGTCACTGAGTACAGGGGAAGGACTCCTTTATTTTTTCAAACACTGGAGGAGGGAGAGGAAATGAGAGCCTCTTTTACTTAGCAACCCACCTGATATATAATAATTATAATTTTTGAAAGTGACACACAACATCCCATGGGCAGGCTCTCTTGCAGTCAATCCAGGAAAGGGTACCCTCCAAACTCTTCTGGCCCAGGGTTTCCCAGGACATTAAAAATTACTGTGACCTTGAGTGCCAGCTGGTGATCCCATGGCCATGGCATTGGCTGCCATTGGTTCCATTGTCCCTGGTGGCTACATCATTTGAACAAGTTGAAAAAGTGATCATTGGGCCCTTAGAACCCAATACCGGTCAGTGCCATGTCATCCTGATACATGTGGATTATGCTATTCAGTACCGGAGGAAGTGTGATCTGCAACACCTCAGGCCAAACCGTCAAAAACCCTAGAAAGCAAGCAGGGATCTACAGATAAGGGGGAAAAGCAGTCCATAAGCAGGATGACCTGAAAGCCATATAAGCTTGATGCCAGGAAGAAGCCAGAAAAAGGGACCTCTTACCCTGCCCTAAGAAGGGCAATCATTTTGTTTGTTTTATGCTGGTTCTGGTTTGTCTGATTCTGTAAGCAAGGACTGCATTTTTATTCAAAAGGACTGGCTAGAGAGCCTTTTTGAAGTAAAGCCAGGCAATAAGTTTACCATCCCAAGGCATTTAAAGGGCCTGCTGAAGAACCAAGCTAAAATAAGCAGCAGGCTCACTAACCCGCTTACAGATCAGTGAGAAAGCTTTTTCCCTGGGAAGGAGAAGGAAACTCTAGGTTCTTTTCTCTGTTTCTAATACTATTTATATTTGTATGTAAAATAGCCTTTGGGAGGGAGGGGAGGTAGACACAAAACAACTGTTTCTTACTTCTTGAGCCTAACAACTTGGCTACTTGGGAAAAAGTGAGTTGGTCCTTACCTCACCTCACCTCACCTCTTTTTTTGTAACTTTTCTGGTAAGTATTAAAGACCAAGATGGAGGCACATTACAAAACTAGATGCACATATAGTTTTCCAGGGACTTAAACTGGGTGATAGGAGATCATAATTTCACAGACTGTAAGGCCAGAAGGGACCTTGGAAGATCATCGGGTCCAGCCCCCTGCACCAAGCAGGAAAGATAACTGGGGGTCAGGTGACCCCAGCAAGGTGACAATACCTAAGAGTCAGTGAAAAGCCTAAAAGTAGAACTGGATCTGTCCCACAGATCATATCTGTGCTGAAGGAAGCACTGCTTACTTGGGTGTCTTAACTGTTCTGCTCTTCATAACATAAACAGGAGCTTATCACTTCAAAGGTAAAGATCTGAGACTAACTGAGAATGCCAGTAATTGAGAAATGGGATTATTTTATATGTTTGGAATTGCACTTAAATTAAAAGAGAACAAAAGAATCTAATCAAAATCCATGACAAATACATTTATGCAGAAATGATAACAACAACAATACTGATGATAAACAATAATGATGATGGCGATAGCAATAATAACTAGTTATAATTTTATCTTAGGGAGCACCTACGGCATGTGAGATACTTGCCAAATGGAAACAAAATCAAAGTCTGGTCCCACTGCTGGCCCTTGATTGCACTGGCATCTGCTTGTGCAACCCTGTGCAGTCAGTGAAAACTTAAGATGTTCAGCCCTGCTAAGAACCAGTCCATGTTTACTTTGGTGCACAAATAAAAATACAGAGTTTGGAGTCTACCTTTAGGTGACTGAGTTTAAACTTTTTCCCTGAGGCACTAGTTAAACATTATATGAGGTGAGAGAAATTACTATAAAAGCACCATTAAATAGTTTTGCTGTAATCCTTTTTAATAGGTTTGTAAAGGGCAAACCTCCTCCCCTGAGTACTGGGAAGGCTGTGCCTCTGAGATGTGTTGGGGAAGCTACTCCATAAAAGGTTATTAAGCAATCATGTTAAGAAATCTGCTTTAATAACAGCAAATGCCAAGGCTCAGAATTCCTGCAGTTAGCAGATACTGCAAACATGATTTATTCCTTTTTATTTAATATGTTCCCATTTTTTACCTGATTTTACCTACGGAAAGAGGTTGACAAGACCTGAGATCAGCTGAAATTACAATGAGGGACTAAGACAGTGATGATTGCTATTATTCAGGCACTGAGATGATGAAGAAAAAGAGGCATGCTAAACCACTCCATAAAAAGTTGAGAGTCAAGTAAGAATGGACACACACACACACATTCACACACATATATACACATACACACACACACGTGTGGACAATCTCATAGTGCATTAATGTAATCTCATAAAGAAGAAATACTGGTACTTCTCTCATTTGGAATAGCAATTGAGTGGCTATGGAGAAGTGCAACATAGCTTACTTTAGGACCCTGCAGTATGGGAACAGCAGCATGAAGCAAACATGACATTGATGGACCTGATTGAATTAAGACTTGTAAAGCTCATTGTGATTTGTACTAGACTCTGATGTCCTTATAGGCAGAATCTAAGGCACTACTCATGACTTCTAGAGCTATAATATATTACGCCAGATATGGTTTGGGATCTGTCTCCAAGTTCCACACCACTACGGAGGAGATCAGCAGTAATAACCAATTGGAGTTCCCTCTATAGAACTGAAAAAAATGCTACTGTTGGGGCATTCTTTTGGAGGAGAAGCAACTCCTTTGGTTCTCCTCAGCAGCCAAGACAGTTTTTTCCTCTGCAGACAGCCCTTGACTTCCAACATTTTGAGTTGCAAAGTTTTGCATTTATGACATTTATAAATTGACACCCTGTTTCAACTTTATAACTTCAGTTTTGACTTTACAACACTTGATCCAACGCCATGCCATGCCAGCAAACAAGTTCGCTGCGTTGCCCAACTCCCTGGAGAACATCTGTCTAAATTTCCTTGGACACTTCCTTTAAGAAGGCAGAAAGACTCTACAAAAACCTGCAGCCAAGACTCCTGAGAAGACTCCAGCCAAGAGCCCTTCAAAAAATCCAGGCAACAGCCCTTGAAAAAGTCCAGCAAATCACCTCAAAGAAGTCTTTCGAAATCAGTAAGATTGCTATTTACAATATAAATACATTAATGTAGCTATATTACTCATCTATAATTGATTGAGTGCAAAATTCTGGGTTATTTCTGGTGAAAATACAGTATTGGGCCTTGGGTCAGGAAACGATCCCTCATTAATAGCGTTGTTTCCTATGGGAAAATCGGTTCCGAG